TGTCAGGTTCTCAGAGACTTAGGTTAAGTATAGAATCCTAAAAAATGACCGCTACTTAATAAGAATCACATACTGAAAAGTAGCAAAATACTTGAAGACTGATTTTTTTAAATATAGGCTTTATAGACAGATAAGTTGTGAGTGACTCTTGAAGGACCAGCACCACATCCTCTTGTACCACTGTTTGAAGAATTTATCTTTCAGAATCTGGCAGTAACTTTTGGGAGTTCTGTCAGGGCAGCCAATCAGAATTTAGCAACCTCGTCTCTGATTGGCTGGAATTATGGCATATTGTAACGCTGAGTTGTGTTGAGCAACCATTGTAGTTGGCATTTAGAGAGCACTGAAGGCGGGCATCAGGTGAGCAAGCTAGTGAAACGTTGCACGCGCAAAAGAGAAGGTCTGCACACATCCAAAAACTTATTTTAAATGCGAAATTGATTTTAGTGTGCTCTAAATACTTTGCGAGACGAACATTTTCTCCACAAAACTCAGATCGTGCGCGTGCAAAATGCACTTTTGTGCGCTCAAAATATGATCTTTCGCACGCAGAATTGTGGCAGAGATCTAACCCCATAGGACTGTAGGTGTGAGACTCATGTGTACCATTGGTGTGGCCACTAGGGGACGCTCTCTCTCAGAGGAGCTGCGCGTGAAGCTCCTCTGAGAGTGAAAGAGAGGAAACAGTGTTTTCCTCGTGACTGGAATTCGCTCTTCATCAGCGTCTGTCTGAAATACAAGAGTACAAAACTCACACAGAGACACAACAGCCAACAACAGCAGATCCGTGACCCGACTCCACTCCAGACCCAACAATAACCTGGGCTTTATGTCTGAGTAGGGTTTATAATTAATTATAAAACATTTTTATAAATATCTTGTTTTCATTTTACAAGGGTTCATACCATGACAAATCCATTTTTATTTATTTTTTTACATTTTTATCAATATTTTGAATTAGTTTTTAGATTTTTAATTTTAATTTATATATATATATATATATATTTAATTTGATGTTTATTTTCTTTCAAGTAACTAAGAAGTTTTGTAATGGTTTTAATTTTAGTTAACAATAATAAACCTGCAAACTCATCAACCTACCAGAAAAATAATAATAACTATATATATATATATGTTTTTGTCTATATAGTTTTTAGTATTTTTATTTTTAGTTATTTTAGTACTTCAAATACTTTCCGTACCCACTGTATATATATATATATATATATATTAGTTAACAATAATAACCCTGCAAACTGGTTATTACCCTACCTGAGAGATTTTAACTTTCTAAAAACAATTTAATATCGATTATGGGTTAAATAATTACTTATAAAATTATAAAAATTATTATACATACTATATTTTCTGTTTTCATTTTATCATTTTATTAACTTTTTGTTAAATTAACTTTTTGGTCTTTTAAGAAAAAATCTGATATTCAGTGAATAACTACTTACATTTTGTACTGTTCCTCACACAAAGCTATCATGTAACTTCAAAAGAGTAGAATAGACTGGACTAGACTAGACGACTAGAATAGAATAGAATCCTTTAGGCCTTTTATGGTTGTTTTTGGTGATTTCTGGACATTGACAGGTGTAGTCACAATAGAGTGAGTGATGAAAAGTTTTCTAAATCCTTGCTGCGTTTCACAGAAAAATAACTGCAAATGTGTTTGTAATGAAATTACGGTAATACATAATGTCATAATGTCAAGTGTTGATTTAAAATGTGACAGTATGGGTAGAGTCGGGTGACGGGTCTGGTTTCTGGGCTGGGTTTACACTCTACTAGCCACTCACACACACATTACACTGAGAGACATGAAACACTTAACACACACACACAGAGACTCACGGTTTGTGACTTCTTCTTCTTCTTCTTGATGGATCTGAAGAAGCCTTGTTTCTCCTTCTCTTTGGTGGGCTCTGAAGGGCTCATGTCCCGTGTCTCAGACCCCGTCCTCATCAAAGAAGACACACTTCATAAAACTCATGCTTACAATCTGACAGGGTTATTTTACTATCATTCATATTCTATTATATTATTAATAAGTTTAGTTTTTTATTAATAGTTTTATTTTTAATATATATATTTTTTACATTTTCTGTTTTCATTTTAATTTTAGTTAAAGTTTTAGTAATTCTGTTGTGTTTTTTTTCTCTTTTTTTTTTTCAAGTATTTCTACATAGTTTTTATTAATTTTTATTTTAGTTTTAGTTTTAGTTATTTTAGTTCTTCGTGCTAAAATAATGAAAATTAGAAATGTTGCCTTGGTAACTAGCTGAAATAATTTTTTTAATATTTTATTGCAATTAACATATATTTTATTTCAAGCATGGAACATGTTTTCAATGGTTTTATCTTTAATTAACGAGAATTACCCAGCAAACTGGTCAACCTACCTGAGAGACTTTAATTCTCTAAAAACAATTTAATATTAATTAAGGTGTATAATTAATTATAAAAAATAATGATAAATATTTTATGTTTTAATTTTTAAAGGGTTCATATTTTGACTAATCCAATTTTTTTAATTGAAAATGAGATTTTCATTGAATAATTTAAATTTAAATTTTGAACCCTTTTATTTAATATTCAGACTCATTTCCTGTTTGTCACTTCCTGCTTGACTGTCAAAGCATTCAAGTGTCAGAAATGAATTTAAAAAGCCTTTATTGCATCGTGGCTATTAAAATAAATGATTCATGATTTGTTTATTCTATTTCATGTTATCACAGAAAAAATAAGGTTTGATTCAAATTACACTTTAGTGGAGCCAAATAATAGTTGCACATATAAAAGTATTTACAGTAGGTCAACAATAGAGTGTGTCAGTGCATCATCCTCACCACGGGTCGTATGTGGGTTGGTGTATGTTGTGGCTGCTGTCTATCGTGACTCCTGAACTCTCGTGGAACGAGTTATCGGGTCTGGGAGACGGCACTGGTCCAAACAGAAAAACATCAACATATTAATGAGATCAATGCGCTGAGATCAACCAGTGTCGAGGAAAGTGACCTTTACAAATAAAGTAACTTTTGCATTACTTCTCACTCGCTCTCTCTTCTAGAACAACAACAGCTTTGTTGCTTTTTATTCAAAGTGGAATTTGGGACTTTGTTTCGCTGTTTTCTGATTGTCCTTCCAACACAGTTTGCATGCAATGACTGTATCGCAGTAGATACTGCAACGCATGCAGTGTTGACAGTTTTGTTGATTATAATGGGAGCAATTTAATTTGATTTGCATCGCGCCTGCAGTGTAGAGACTGTATCAAGCACTGCATGAACCAGGGAAACTTTTCAATTGCATTCATTAAAGAACAAATTAGACAACACAGAAATAAAATAAAACAAAATAAACGCTGGTATCATAATAAAACATTACTTTATTGTTGTTAATTATTATTTATCACGCATGCACCTACACTATGTGACTACGGTATGGGGAATGGAGAGGTTTTCTATTGCATTTGTTAATAAATAAATTAGGTCAACACAGAAATAAAATAAAATATTAAATTAAGTTATTAATTAAATAAATTAACAAAATAACCCCGGTATTATGATAAAACGTTACTTTATTGTTGTGTATTTATTATTTATTGTGCATGAACTAGAGTATAGGGAACAGTTTTCAATTGCTTTTGTTAATAAATAAATTATACAAAATAGAAATAAACTAAAACAAAATAATAAATTTAATTAAATTATAATTTAAATAAATTAAAGTAACAAAATAACTGTAGTATTATAATAACACATTACTTTATTGTTTTTTTTTATTATGCATGCACCTACAGTACGTGATTACGTCATGCAGAATGGAAAGGTGTTCAATTGCATTTGCTAATAAATAAATTAGACTACACAGAAATAAAATAAAATAAATTATAAATGAAAAAAGTAAATTAAGAAAATGATTCTGGTATTATTGTAACATAATTCTTTATTGTTTATTTACAAATAACAATCAGATGACATGCATATGTCTTGTAGCTTGTCACTTCCAACGCGGTCTATAACATTTGTTAAAATCAGAAGCATCATGTGCATAAGTGTGACGTGACTGACCCCTGTAGAAGCTGCCGACCCGTCGCGGCACCGACTCGCTGTACATCATGCGGTTCTCTTTGGCCGATCCGCTGTCATCTGCGAGCTGCTCGTGATAAACGCCTCCCTGCAGCATCAACATTTGTCACAGACATGTTTTCCAGCAGAAAAAGTGCTGAATGAAGCACTGAGGACATTAATTATCATGAATAGTGACGATTTCCCCTGTGTTTAAACTCCAAACAAAAGGAAACACAACCGAAGTGCCTCCGTCTGAATGAGAGAGCAAAGCAAACAGAAAAATGGGCAGCAGGAAGAGGAGTATGAAGAGAAGGAGGTAAAGAGACAGTGAAGGAGAGAGAAAGCAGGATGGTGCGGACCTCGCTTTTTTGCCGTGGTGCGTGAAAGGCAGCGGTGTTGTCCCGTGTGGACTCCCGGATTAAAGGTCGCGTGTGACTGACCTCTGCGGCCGCGGGGTCGCTCTGTTTATGGAGAGATGAGAGCAGGTGAAGCACAAAGCGCCCGCACACATTCATACAAACACCCGACACATACAGCATCTGTTACGAACCCTAGTGAGCCACCTACCTAGACGACATACACAGACATCATACTGTACATACACTACCCACATAGATAGATAGATAGATAGATAGATAGATAGACAGACAGAAGAACAGACAGACAGACAGACAGACAGACAGATAGATAGATAGATAGATAGATAGACAGATAGATAGATAGAACGACAGAAGAATAGATAGATAGATAGATAGATAGACTCACACCAATTGAAAGGGAATTGAAAGGGCCAATACTTTAATTCTGAACTCTGCCCAGATGTTGAATTAGAAGGGAGCAGCCAGTGTAGTAATGACAGCTGACACTGGGGC